CTACCTCATGCCTCTGGCTGTTATGGCTTTAGTTATTTTTCATGTACAGTCTCAAGGTTTTTGCCCAGGACCATCCTCAGTCTGTGATACTACTACCTACAACCTTCTACATAGCTAGGACCACAAGCATAAACCATCATGTCAGGCTATTTATTGAGACAGAATCTTGCAAACTGTTTTTCCCCATCTGGCCTTGAATTGTGATTTTTCCCAACACGTATCTCACAAGTAGCTGGAATTATAGGCATGAGCCATTATGTTTAGTGAAAAAACAGTTTAAAATACTATACTCTCTAAATTGTGGGCCAAAGGTATATCCAGGATAATAGTGTCAGAGCTGGTGGCTCATGCCTGTAATCCTAGCTACTCACGAGGCTGAGATTTGAGGATCCAGGTTCAAAGCCAGCCCAGGCAGAAAGTCCGTGAAACTCTTATCTCCAATAAACCACCAGAAAACCGGAAGTGATGCTTTAGCTCAAGTGGTAGAGTGCTTGCCTTGAGCTGAAGAGCTGAGAGACAGCGTTCAGGCCCAGAGTTCAAGCCCCAGGACTGACCAAAAAAAACTGTTGAAGTAAAATAACCTGAATCATAACATCATCATTTCCAAATGAAGAAACCTATGAAACAGCATTGTTGAGACATGGGTTGGTAAGGCTTTTCCTCAACAACTCCAAGTTAGGAACTTCACAACATGTAGAAGAAGCAGATGATTTATATGGATTTCGGAATTATTTAGGGAAAAAGATTCTGTATCATATACTCATCATTGATCCTGCTTGAGTTTTCTAGAATTACAACAAAAAAGAGGTATGTCCCTTTGAGTGTTTGAAGAGGGCTCCCTGTGTTTTGTTTCTTCAGAATAATGACTCTTGCACTTTTGCTTCTTGCCTATAACCTCAACAATATCAATAGCAGGTGCAAACCCCATGTTATGTAGACATGGCCCCTCTGTAAACATAGACCCAGGCCTGTGTTCTATAGAAAAAAATTACAGAAACTTAAAACGATTAAGTCATTGTCATTTGAACACAGTCTCCCAGCATACACATCCCCAAAGATAGCATTTTGTGTTTTGCCCTCTCCTGATTAATGTCAGCTCATTCAGGCTAAAGTCTTTTTGAATTGTCTTTTCCCACAAATGACTGAGAAATCACTTCAAGGAATTTTCAAGAATAAGATGTAATTGGAGCTATTCTCTTAAGGGTTTGTATGGGTGGAGGAGAGGGAATAAATATTCCAGGATGGGGAAAGAGTGTCCACACTGTATATTCACAAAGTTCTATCATTTGTCAAGCACAATAATAAGTATTTAAAAACAAAGTGTTGCAGCCCAACATTAAGGTCACCCTAAAGCCAGAGACTCCATGCCAGCTCATTACAGTGCAGGGAGGTATGCACAAGGTATTGCCAGACAGAGCCAAAGACCAGGGATCTCAACGTAGCAAGAGTTTCTTGGAGGAAGTATTAAAATATAAGTAATATTTTAAGCTGAGAGTATATGTGAAGATCACCAATCTCACAGGTATATCATGACGTTGACTATTGATAGTTCATGAATAGGACATGAGCCAGGCGTCGGTGGCTTACGCCTGTAATCCTAGTAGTCTGAGATCTGAGGATCTTGCAAAGCCAGCCTGGGCAGGAAAGTCTGAGAGACTCATATCTCTAATAAACCACTCAGAAAACCAGAAGTGGTGCTGTGGCTCAAGTGGCAGAGTGCTAGTCTTGAGCTGAAGAGCTGAGGGAAAGTGCCCAGGCCCAGAGTTCAAGCCCCATGACCGAGAAAAGAAAAGAAAAGAAATACAGCCTGGCACCTGAGCCCATGTTCTCAGAAGCCTTGAGAGGGTTATAGTAAGAACTATACACCTTGTGGCCTATGGAACCTCAGCTTCACTTGGTGAAGAATGCCCCTTGAGACTCTATCTTGCTGGCCTCTCTAAAAACTCTGAACTAGGCTAGGCTGACAAGTGAGTGAGCAGCAGGTAGAATACCTGGATCCCAGATCTAGAGTACTCCATTGGCTTCCACTGAAAGTTTCCAGGAGGTTATGTAGGGCATTGGAAAAAAACCCTGGCTTGTAGAGTTAGATGTATATGAGTAGTCAAGAATGAGCTGAACCTTGTAGAAGCAGAGAATATTTCACATATTTAGCATGCTAAGCTTTAAAACAGAATATTTGGTTTGAGAGGGCTGGTGTTCATTTGGGGATAGAAAATGAAAATATAAAATATGCATCATTAAATGAATTTATATATTTGTCTTTCTTTGAGTATTGATTATCAGTACATAACGGCTCAAGAGATTTTAAACTAAAGGACAGGAGCCTGGAGCATCATGGTGCTGCTTTAGGGTCCATGAGGTTGCTGTCACTGAAGGCACAGAAGACACATAAGTGGCTGTTAGCAATTATCCCTACATGAATCTGTCTATGGGACTGACATCCCCCTTAGTGAATGATGAGAGACAGAGAGGGAGAAGGAGAGGAGAAAGAGGAGAGATCATCACTTCTGTTACTGGTTCAGGGTAAGACAGATTTCACACAGAGCACTGCGTACCAGGAAATGAGGGCCATTAGCAAGTTATTAATTATTTTACAGCTTCGATAGCCTTTTACCACATCAGGAACCTAGAAGTCAGGAATTAAGGTACCAGTGGGGTTCCAGGGAAACCTCTTCCAGCTTCTGGTGATTGCCACAGCTCTTTGCATTCCTTGGCTTATGGCATCACACTTGGTGCTCAGACTCCTACCTCTATCTTCACATAGACTTCTTCCCTGTGCCTCCCATAACCTCTTTTGCAAAGGCCACTACTCATATGGGAATCAGTCTACCACCCTAATCAAGAATGAGCCTGCTTTAACTAATTACACCAGCCAAGTCAAGTCACAGTCTGAGATTGAGAACAGGATAAGGATGTGGAAAGAAAGGGCACTGGTAAACCAGTACAACAGGTCTCCTGGATGTGGCCTCATACTTTGGGATTTCAGAGGCTGTGGTCATTCCAAGACAGAGCACAGAATGGATTGTTATTCTTATTACTTGTGCTTTTGTTATTGCTGTTGTTTTGTTTTCCTCCTCTAGCTCTCTTACCCAGGTGATTCAAACCACAAAATGCTTCACATCCTTCAAGGTGCCTTTGTCAGGATCTGTCTCTTGATCCTGGCTCCTGCTACCCGGAGCAGCCACATTCAGTTCAGTTTGAACTTTGCTCCAGGAAAGTAGAGGCTGAAAATGGTTAGAAATGATGTCTGCAAAGCCTGGCGCTGGTGGCTCATGCCTGTAATCCTAGCCACTGAGGAGGCTGAGATCTAACAATCACAGTTCAAAGCCAGCCCTGGCAAGGAAGGTCCGTGAGATTCTTATCTCCAATAAACCACTAGAAAACCAGAAGTGATGCTGTGGCTCAAGTGGTACACCGACAAAAAAAATGGTGTTTGCAATATTTACAAGATTAATTTCCTTTCCTCCCTCGTTCCCTCCCTCCCTCCCTTTCTCTCTCTCTCTCTCTTTTTCGTTTTTTTGGGGTCCAGTCATGGGGCCTGAACTCTGGGCCTGAGCGCTGTCCCTCAGCTCTTCAGCTCAAGGCTAGCGCTCTACCACTTGAACGACAGCATCACTTCCGGCTTTTTTCTTTTTGCTTATGTAGTGCTGAGGAATCGAACCCAGGGCCTCATGCATGCAAGGCAAGCACTTTACCACTGAGCCACCTCCCCAGCCCCTCTCTTTCTTTCTTTTTGTCTTTCTTTCTCTCCTTCCTTCTCTTCCTTCCTTCCTTCCTCCCTCCCTCTCTCTTTCTTTCTTTCCTTCCTTCCTTCTTTCCTTCTTTTTTTCTTTTTTCTTTCTTTCTGTCCTTCCTTCCTTTTCTTCCTACCTCCCTCCTTTCCTCCTTCTCTCCCTCTCTTCCTTCCTTCCTTCCTTCCTTCATTCTTTCTTTCTTTTCTGTGCCAGTCCTGGAGTTCAAACTCAGGACCTAGGTGATGTCCTTGAGCTTTTGTGTTCAAGGTTAGTGCTCTACCACTTGAGCCACAGCTCCACTTATGGCTTCTTTGGCAGCAGATTGGAAATAAAAATCTCATGGACTTTCCTGCCTGGACTGGTTTTGAACCTTGATCTTCAGATCTCTGACACCTAAATAGCTAAGATTACAGCCATGAACCACAGATGCCTGAGTTAATTTCTTATTATTATACAAGTAATCCATTTTCATTATGGAAAACTTGAAAAGTACAAATAAGTAAAGAGAAAGAAAAGTTTCATTTACTGCCACTATTCAGACATTGCTACAATTGATGCAAGCAATTGAGGCAGACTTTTTTAATGCAGAAATATGTAGATAGCATTTTTAAAAATACAAAAATGTAATAGTAAGATACTTTACTTTGTAACATGCTCTTCTTATTTCATTAGCCATAAGTAGCTTTCCAAATGAGTGGAGACCAGCCTCTAGCATTTAATTGTGACTCATTTTTTTTAAAGATGGCATGATTGTCTCTTTCTTTCTAGCTTCTCAGCTGAAGCGGTTTTCTCCATACCACTACCCTCTCACCTCAGGGTCACAGGCTAGGCAAAGATGGAAGAAAGCAGCAGCCCATGGTGACAGGATTGAAGGGAAAGAGAAAGAGCCAGGCCAGCTATGGACCTTGGTCCCTAATTATGTGGCACTTCACTTCCTGCACAAAGGGGACTGACAGGTACTCCAGTGGAAATGTGAGGTACTGAGTCATAAACCATCAATAACAAAGGATTTTCACCAGTTCCAACCCCTAGTTTGCTCCCAGTTTATCCCATGTGGTTCTTACAAGGTTCCACTCCAATAATAGTACCCAGTGGAGAAAGAATGTATGGACTGTGCCCCAAATCTCAGAATTTACCCAAACTGGGTAAAGAGAGTACTTGAGTGCCTTGTAAGTCAGTGGTGGGAGTCCAGTATAGGACTCTTAGATTACTTCTGTCCTTGTCCAGGCTGACAGTGCCCAGGGAGTTTAGGGGATACACAGTCTCCTAATCAGACTGTTGGAAGTAGAAGTCTGTGATGGGAGCATCCCAGGTGGCGTCCTCAGGAATCTGGGTGAGCCTGACAGGCTGGTCAGCTTCTGGCACAGTGCAGAGGAACCAGCCAGGGTATGCAGCTGACTCGAAGCTGGAAGTGAACCCCATGTCCCGTCGGTAGAAAGTGAAGCTCTTGGATTCCTTGGCACCAAGGTAGAGTTCCATAATGTTCACTGGCTGCCAGCAGAAGGGTATGAAGAGTGAGGGACAGGAGTAGGGGCAGTAGGAAGATGCTTAGGCAAGGCAAGGGCCATTGGGGAGAGATAAAGATATGATCCACACCACTTGTAAGGGGTCCCCAAGGTGCCCAGGCACAGAACACCAAGACAGAGTTTGTTCAGGATCTATTGGCTTAATCCCAGATGATGATGACCCAATAGGACTCACCTCTAATTTCAGAGTTGGTTCCTTCTCCATCCCACAAGACAAGCATTGGCTTCCCCCCTGGACACCCAGGATGACTGGAGAGAGCCTGGCATCCAGTGACCGATTGGGGACAACGCTGATCTCTTCACCTACAGGTAAAAGACAAGGTATTGGAAACTTGGCTCCCCTTCTGTCTATCCATTCTAACTCAAATCCTGGATTCTGACCAGCAGGACTTGGATTCTGGGCAGGAGTGTTAGGCATCCTGACTTTAAGCTGGGAAAAAGGGAAGGATCTTAACAGCTGTCACACAGGGAAGGACAATTTTCTGTTAACCAGTCCAGAGTGGACATCAAGGCACAGAACTGTGTTTTACCACTCCCCACCTCAAATCACTTGCTCAGGGCCAAATCATCATGTCTTCCATAAATTTCAGGAGACTACTTTTCCAAATACTGCTTTTAATACCCTTTACTCTCATACCTCTTTCCAGATGTTTTGATCATTTTTGTTTTGTTCGTAGCAGTACTAGGGCTTGGACTCAAAACCTCATGCTAGTTTGCTATTCTTGCTCAGTTGGCTCTCTACTATTTGAGCCACACTGCCAGTTATTTTGTAGACTGAGTCTCTCAGACTTTTCTGCTCTCCCTGGCTTCAAACTACTATCCTTAGACCTTATTTTTCTAAGATTACAGGGATAAACCACCAACCAGCATCTAGCTCTGAAACTTGATTTGATGAGCCTCCCATTAGAGTTGTTTAGATATCTCACAATCTCCACGAGATTCATGTCGGCAGAAAATATCTCATTCCTCTCTGTATATCCTTCTACACCCCACACACCCATACACACTTATGAGTACACACATTACATGTATGCATGCATTGTGCGCATACATATGCATGCATAAACAGGAGGACAGATAGCACCATCTGCTGTCTGGATCCCACCACTTTGGATGAACATGACCTTCAGAGAGTGGATGAGCCCAGAGTTGAGAGGCAAAGCCCACCCACATGTGAGTAAGGACAGGCAGCACATTGAATCCCTTCTTTAGCACTTGCTAAGACAAAATGGAAAACCACTTGTTCTCAAAAATGTTCTCCTTCTGCACAGAGGCTTAGGTATTTTAAGGCCTGGGTCTTTGCTTTGCTAGAACACTTGTTTATGACTCTCCAACATGTCAGACCTGGGGTTTGAGCCACTATAGGCAGAAGATTCAAAGGCCTAGAATCACAGTTATGTTCTAACACCAACCTTTAACAATCTTCCCAGCATTCAGCCCTCCGGCTAAAAGCTGGTTGTCACGCAGATAGAGCACCTTCAGGGCTGAATCCTTCATTCTGAAACATCAGGAAGGGACTCTGTTAGGGGAGTGGTTAGTGCTCCAGCTTGCCCAGGCTCCAGAGTGTCCTCCAATCTCAGGCATATTTTCTTACCTTCTTCCCATTGTACCTGATACAACAGCACAGCCTTCCTTCCTAGCCATATCCTAACAATGGGATGACCCCTTGGTCTCCCATTTATGCTCCTTTACCTATTTAACTTTTCCTATTCTACCCAATCTCCTCTCTGTGCTCTGTTGGAAAGGAAGCTGGACTGTGAGTTGGATCCTAGACTCAGCTACCTTTTTTGCTGGGCCACAAAAGACAAGTCACTTACATTCCCTGAACTTGGGTCTCTTTATTGCTAGACTAGATGATATGTTAGATACTACCCAGACCTCTTCCTGATTCACCAATAATTACTGAAAACTTCAAGGTACATTTATTTCCATCTGGCCATATATTCTATCCAAAATGAGGACGTATTTTAAAATTCTAATATTTTAATTTTCTTAGATACTTCTCATGGATGAAATTAGTTGATTTTCTTCCAAAAGCAGTTTTCTTCCAGTATTACTTGGAGAGAAAACATCAGTAGTATAAAACTTGGTTTGATGTTTGGCCAAACATGATAAAACTAGCTATACAACTGGTAAGACTCAGTTGATAGCTGAGTTGTGCTGTGGATCTTTTACAACAGGCTATCTCCCACCTTCACTCCATCAGAGCATCTCATGTAACTAAGTCCCAGAGACACGTTCTGAAAACAGGACACAGTCAACCCTTAGTTTCCACCGTGAATTAGTTCCAGCAAAAGCCACAGGTGCTCAAGTACTCATAATATTACCTATCCATCCCATCCCGTGTACTTACATCAACTCCAAATAACTTAGAATACCTAATGTCATATAAATGTCATGTAAACAGTTGTTGTACTACATTTTCAAGGAAATAATAAGAAAACAGTTTGTGCATGTTTATTTTTTCAAATACTTTCAATCCACAGAAGCCTTAGAGGTAAAAGGCTGACTGAACCAGACTGACTTCAATAAGAGAAAGGACTCTTTTCTTACCCAGCACTGTAAATTCTGGGGCAGAGATGAGAGCCTAATCAGCACATGCCAATGAATGGAAAGACAGATTAGTGTTTTTTTATTGTACTTTCCTCCTAGTGGCTGGTAGATGTCAATTCATTGCTGTTGGAGGCAACAGTAGGATTTTAGAAAATGGGGCCTCCTGATCCATTCTCACTATGAATGGGCCAAGCTGTACAGCAGCTCTACAATGGGGTTACTAGCCCCTACTTAGCATGGAGATGCCTTGCTCAGTCACACTCCTATATGCAAGAAAGCTAGAAATTCCCTAAAGGCAGTAAAATGCTGGTCCCAACTTCCCAGATTACTTGGTGTACTAGTGAGAGCCCCAACTGGGCAAGTAGAGCTCCTCCCATCCTCTTTCACTAGGCTGGACTACTCTGCCAGGGACTCACTTTCCTCAAGGTTACCACATCAGAGGTTCAGATACTCACCGAAAGCACAATGCTCCACTCAGGACCATCTTGAGCTCCACAGTAGGCTACCCTATTTTGAAACAAACAGTAGAAAAAATTTAGACAGAGAAAAGGCTGTGCTGATAGAGGTCTGGGTAACAAGCAGGCCCCTGAGTCCTCTAGCATTGGATCAGCCTCTCCTGAACAGAGGTTATAGATCTTACGGTTATAGATCAGCTGAAGCTCCACTACTGCTAACACCCCCAAAAGAATACCTCAGAATACCTCCTTTCTCCTGGCAAAAGCTTGTGGTGTCTGCCTGTTCCTCCAAGGATGTCTTGGCCTTTTAAGGACACTAATGAACCAGGGAGGAGCCCTGAAACTCAACCTAGGGAGGAGTAGGGTTTCCCATAGTGATTTTACATCACCCTAAGCCTACAGAAACACCTGCTGCTCCTCATTATTTCTCCTGGAAAGAGTCTTCTGGAGACCATCTCCCTCCACAAGTCTCAAGAGCTTTCTCGGGTGCTTTCCAGATCTCTAAGAGAATAAGAAATAGCTCAAGAAAACTAGATTCTAAAACATCTCTTTCCTCCTTCCTTTTCTTCCTTCTTTCCTCCAGTCCCTCCTTTCTTCCTGCTTGTGCCAGCCCTATGGTAATGTGGGAGGTGGAGATCTCCTGCTTAGGGAATGTTTAGGCAACAAGTTCATTGCAGAAAAACCGGAAAATCCAGATTAGCAGAAAAAGAACATAAACATTGTCTTTGAAAGCACTATCCAAACTCTAATGACAATACTTTTTTCTCCACAACTTAAATCTAGTATTTTATGGCATAGCTGGAACATAGATCTTGTATTCCAATCTATTATTACTGGTCCTTCATTTTGCTATTGTTTTTTGTTTATTTGCTTGTCTTTTGTTAATTGGTGTGATAGACCTCTATGATTCCAACACAGATCTTCCTCTTTTTTTCATTTTAATGTTATTGTCAAGGTGATGTACAGAGGGGTTATAGTTACATAAGTAAGGTAGTGAATACATTTCTTGTCTAACTTATTACCCCCCCTCATTTTTCTCCCTCTTTTAAATACCTAAAACTAGTAAAAAAAATTATGTGATTGTGAAATAATCAATGCACTTTTCATACCTCCACTAGTTCTGTCTGATGAACTTAAGTTAAAGGGAAGTGTATAGTAATAATTTAATCATGTCTTGAGTATCATTGATAACTATTTATTGTTAAAGCACAAATGTTAAAGGGATGATATTCAAACACATGGGCCAGAAAGTTCTTAGTGTTTAAGAATAAATAAAATACCCAGATGGGAAATATCGCATTAGTCACATAATGTTATTTACAGAAAACTGTAAAATTGTCTAAATGAAAACAATTTAAAAATTGCAAAAGCAAAATAAAACAAAATTTCAGAAAGAATTGTCCTATAGGCAAAGCAGTACTGAGCAAACAGGTTTCTTTTGTAGAAGTGGGTATCATTTCAAATGGAGTCAGACTGCCATCTGCCTGGGACCCATGAATTGCATCTGTGCGTCCAGTGGACTTTTTCATGGAGCTTATAAGGCTCTTTTTACCTTCTTTCTAATAAAGAATAAAACTTGAAAAGAAGAGAGAATTATGTCAGCCTGCAATTGGATGTCATACTTGCACATCATCAAGCGGGCCCCATTAACAGTTCTTGGCCGGGTACCAGTAGTACATGCTTATAATCCTAGCTACTCAGGAGTCTGAGATCTGAGGATTTCAGTTCAAAGTCAGCCTGAGTAGGAAAGTCTGTGAGACTCTTTTTTTTTTTTTTGGTCGTGGGGCTTGAACTCTGAGCCTGGGCGCTTTCCCTGTGCTCTTCAGCTCAAGGATAGCACTCTGCCACTTGAGCCACACCACTTCCGGTTTTCTGGTGGTCTATTGGAAATAAGAGTCTCACGCACTTTCCTGCCCAGGTTGGCTTTGAACAGTGATCCTCAGATCTCAGCCTCCTGAGTAACTAAGATTACAGGCGTGAGCCAATAGGGTGTAACAATGCTCCATAGGAAATGGGCTCCTTACCTTGCTCACATAACTGTAACCCCTCTGTACAGTATCTTTACAATTATATATATATATATATATATATATATATATATATGCATATATGTGTGTATATATACACACACAAAACTGGAAGTGGTACCTGTGGCTCAAAGTGGTAGAACACTAACCTTGAGTGAAAAAGCTCAGAAACTGCCCATGACCTGAGTTCAAGCCCCATGACTAACAGAAGAAGAGGAAGGAGAAGGAGAAGGAGAAGGAGAAGAAGAAGAAGAAGAAGAAGAAGAAGAAGAAGAAGAAGAAGAAGAAGAGGAGAAGGAGAAGGAGAAGAAGGAGGAGAAGGAGGAGGAGGAGGAGGAGGAAGAGGAGGAGGAGGAGGAAGAAGTTGTTTTTCTCCTGGGACCCTATGTTTTGGTTTTACTTTCCAATGACAAATAACAAGGTTCCAGTGTATCACTATGGTTAAATGACCCCAACAAAACTTTATAACCATTGTAACTGTGTGACTATATGAGAGATGAGTGGGGAGACACAGAAAGAGAATTACATTAAAATACATTGCATCTAGGTGTGAAGGTGGCATAATGAAGCCTGCTAAAAACAATTGAAGCTGTTGTAGGGGAATAGTGGGGGATGGTAAGATAACAACCAGAGGAGTTAATCTGATTAAAGTACAATAGATTATCTTGCCCATGTAATTGTAACTCCTCTATACGGTATTTTCACAATAAAAAAAATAAAGTACAATAGATGCAGGAGTGAAATAACATGGCGCCAATATGTACAATTAATAAACATTAACATATGAATGACATGAATGTAAAGCAGGTTTTATTGAGGGATTGGGTACCAGTGGGAGGGGGAAGGCATAAGGAGAGGGAGGAGGAAGATAAAGGATAAATGGTGTTGAAGTACTTTATACATGTATATAAAAAGAGAACCATGAAACTCTTGAAATTGATTTAAAAAGGAAGAAGAGGGAATGAAGGAGAATGATATAGGTGGTGAATTTCATCAGGGTATATTGTATATTTGTATGGAAATATCACAGTGAAACCTTCTTGTACAACTAATATATGCTAATAAAAATGTAGAGGAAATGAAGGAAAAAAATAGTTCATGCTGAAATTTAACCTCCAACTCATGCTGATCCCAATTCCAACATATTTAAATATGAGGTCTCAAGACCTGAGACTAATTGGGATCTTTAAAAGGTAAGTCTTGAGGACAGAGGAATGGATGAATCCATTTAATGGTAAATGGGTGAATGAGCTAATTGATTATCTCTGAGTGGCTCTGCCTCTTGGGCATACCTCTGTTACTATGTAATACCCTGTTCTGCCTTGGGACCCGAAAGGTCACACCAACAAGAACACCCTCACTACATCCAGCTACTGATCTTCAACTTCCCAGCCTTCAGAACTGTGATTCAAATAAACCCTTTTCCTTTTAAAGGTGCTTCAGTTTCCTCCTTCATCTCTCCTAGTTGAATCACCCAGGGGAAGCCAGAGACCATAGGACAAGGACATGAAAGTGTCCATACAGAGAGGCCTCACAGTGAGGAATGCTGACATCCTGTGAGGTAACAATCTCCAATGCAGAACCTCCTGTTCCTATCAAACCTTCAGATGATGGCAACCCAGGCTGACATCTGGCCTGCAATCTCATGAGAACTCTTGTGAGGCCAGTCTTCTGCTCCCTGATTCTCAAAACCTATGTGAATAAATAGATGTTGCTTGGTTAAGCTGTTAGGGTTAGGAAAAGTTTGTTAAATGTGATAGGTAACTAATATACCTTGTCTTGACCACCAACAGTTTCTATTACTATTGTTTTTTTCATTCACTGACATCTTCAGTGGGTATCCCCTTCTCAACAAACATCTCAATACTTTGTAGTCTTCATGTGTCCCAGAATATGTCACAGCTGAAAGTTGGTAATCCTCCATGGCTACTCATCACCACGTTTGTGAGGAAGGCAGTACCTGCAAGGGGGCAGAGATAAAGACTTAACATATGAAGCTATCCATGTTATTAATGCATAAGCACAATTATGATAGATAACAAATTCTTGTTAGATAAATTTAATAAACATTAAAATAGCCAATATTTATTCAGGTCTGGTTATATTCTTGGAAATTTTATTGAGGGGGAAGAAAGCTATGGGGATTGAACCCAAGACCCTGAGAATGTTAGACAAATGCTCTACAGCCTGAGACACATCCCAAGCCCTCTCAAGATCCTCTTGTTTCTATGTCCTTAGCATTCAGTAGTTTGCCTGGATTTTTCACTTTATGCTCATATAGTGACCTATGGGTAACTACTATTATGTATTTTATGGATATAAGAATCAAACATAAGCCGGGCGCCGGTGGCTCACGCCTATAATCCTAGCTACTCAGGAGGCTGAGATCTGAGGATTACAGTTCAAAGCCAGCCCGGGCAGGAAACTCCATGAGAATCTTAACTCCAATAAACCAATAGAAAACAGGAAGTGATGCTATAGCACAAGTGGTAGAGCATTCGTCTTGCACTGAAGAATGCAGGGAAAGCGCCCAGGCCCAGAGTTCAAGCCTCATGACTGACAAAAAAAAAGAAAAAAAGAAAAAGAATCGAACATAGAAATGTTCATTATATTGCCTGATTTTGACCCTTAATTAGTATTAGCGTCAAAAGTAAATGCAGGAAACTTCAGCCAAAGGCTATTGACCCCAAGATACAACAACACAGCTGTCAGAGTGATCTTTGTAACCACCTCAGTCTGATCTTGTCACAGCTCTGGTTCCCATACCTCTGAGGGTAGAAGACAAGGCAAGTCTTTGCCATCCATCCGAAGCCCTACACAGTTGGGCTCTCATTAACTCTTGTTCTTCTTCCTCCTCATTAAGGAGACTCTCCTTGCTCTTCCTTGAACAAGCAGACATAGTCCTACCTCAAGCCTTTGCACGGACTATTCTCCTTGCTTAAAAAGCACCAGTATAGTTCGCTCCCTTTACCTCCTTTCGGTCTTTGCCTCAAGGCCACCTT